ATTTCCGATTGGTCAATGTAAAGAAGAGCTCTTACGGCGGACTGATAGATTCAAGTGCAGTGCCAAGAATTCCCGTCGTGCTCTAGAGGAGCTCCTCCCGAGGGCTCAGCGACACTTGGGCAACCTATCGCAGCCGTGGTCAGTAATCTTGCAGATATCATCAAGTTGCACAGACACATGTCGGACATTGTGAAGATAGGATGGGTACCTTGGTTTCTCATGTACAGAATGACTCTGATCGTCATTGAATATAAGTTACCTCTAAACGTTTAGGAGACATCTTGGGCTGTGCAACTTCCTTTGATGGACTAACGCACTAATTCTTTTGGAGTATGTTTGCCTTTAATATGTCGATTGATGCCTGGGGTGCCTCTTGATCTTCGGCCTTACTAGGCAATGGCGTTCTATATTTTTATATTCAATGGCCAAGATACTTTTTCAAAAATAAATTATTCGCCAATTACTTCTTTATATCCTTGTTTGACGCTTTTGTTTTCAAAAAGATCCCCAGCCACTATGTACCAGAGAGAGAAATCTCTTGCTAGGTCCAGTAGGTGTACCTGGAAGTATAGGAAGTATAGAAACAAACATTTGGCCTGAGGCATGAGGATCGCCGCGACACGGCACGTGATGATGCGCATCCTGTTCCTTACAGCGTGCATACTTGTGCTATGCCCAAATCCAACCTCATTTCACCCCTGAATATCGTTTGACATTACGAGATTGTGACAGGCAGGCATTAGAGTCACAAGGACCGGACCCTCGGGGCCCTCGGTTTTTTAGTGCGATATTAAGGGCCGAGGCGCTTTTGCCCCGTGTCTCACATGGCCGATCCCCGCCATGGCTACAAGGATCTGATCCATAGCCATGAAAAACAGTTGGATGGTCTCTTAGAACAGGGCATATACAAACCGGTATTTCTGTATCATGTTCTCTTGTTCAATGTTTTGCCACTGATAGGTCTCGTCCTTCCTCGTGGCAAAGGTGGACAATATGCTCGAAAAGGACTATTCGGTCTATTCATTGCAATCGCAGTTCAAGCTTTTCGAAACCATCGGACCCTCATTGGGGGGAATGGCTACATGCTTGGTCTGATGACGGCGTGGTGGCTCATATGGAGCGCCACTTTGTTTGTCTTTTCAAACCTCGAACATGATTTCAAGCGCATTGAACGGAAAACTGCCGATCTACAGCTTCAAGATGGTGCCCAAGAGACTTGCGATTGCAAAGATACCTTTATATGGCAGTCATATCCCGAAAAGTTCGGGCATCGGCTTGACTGGTCTGCTGGACTCCTCTTCAACCTCAGAGGCCCAGAATGGAATTGGAGAGCTCCCCATCTAGGACCATTGCCACAATCAGTCCATACTCAGTTGCACTCGGGATTCTCCTGTGCCAAATTCAAAGCACAAGACGATGCCACTTATATCAGTGGAAAGGAGCGGTTCCAAGCTGCGTTTCGAACGTTCTTGAAATATTACCTTGTGCTGGACTTCCTCAAGGTCTTCATGATGCGAGATCCCTACTTCCAAGGCCTCGCCTCAGTCAACTCACCACCACCGTTTCCATTCTCCTATCTCACAATCCACCCATTCCTAGTCCAATTCTACCGCCTGTTCTTCAGCAGCTTTGGTGTCTTCGTCGCCCTCGAATTTGTGACAGCACTTAGTCCTATCTTCTTTCTGGGACTAGCACTTGCATTCCCCAATGCAGCTAGGAAGCTCACTGCTGCGCCACTCGGGGCTCCATGGGTATACGCCAATACCTTCGGGCCGTTCCTATCCCCAATTCTTGATCATGGACTGGCAGGCTGTTGGGGCCGGTGGTGGCACCAGCTCTTCCGTTTCGGGTTTTCAGCCACCGCCCGTTGGATCCTATCCTTGCTTCCAGTCAAGCTGTCGTCCCATTCGCAAGTCCGGCGGGTCACATTCATCGTGGTGGCTTTTTCAGTCAGCGGGTTCGTGCACGCTTGTGGAAGCTTTACACAGTTCACGGAGACAAAGCCTGTTTCCGGGCCTTTTCTATTCTTTTTCTTGCAGAGTGTTGGGATTTTGGGGGAGCAGGTGTTCAAGAGATCGATTTATCCGATTTTGCCTCTTTCAGGTACACCGCGATGGCTGAGACGGACTGCTAACTGTATATTCGTCTTCTGTTGGCTGTTCTATTCGGGGTCTTTGGCTGCGGATGATTTCGCGCGTGGTGGGCTATGGTTGATGGAACCGGTTCCTTTTAGTCTCCTTCGTGGATTGGGAATTGGACTCCAGGGTCATGGATGGTGGTGCTGGACAGAGCCATGGTTCCGATACTGGAGTGACGGTACTTACTGGGGGAGTGGCATTCGAGTGATATGATCAAATTGAAAAGCACGAATTGACAAATATACGTATGTTCGGCATTATTCAACGCAGAGACTGCATCAGCAACGACAAGTGTTCGGTATATAGAATGCATTTTTGAACGTCCACGCGAACTATAATTACATATTTACCCTTCCATCGTGACATCGTCATCCTCCTCATCAGTATCAGAGTCCATGTTCAGAGTGGGCATCTCGTCATCACTCTCATCGTCAGCTCCGGCAGCAGCAGGCTGCGAGGCCACTGCTGGGTCGTTCGCAGATGTTGTGGTGGTGGTAACCTGCACTGATACCCTTGGAGCCTCGGCCTGAGTAATTGCAGGCGCCGGTTGAGAGACCGGGGTAACTTCCTCAAATCGTGCCTTCTTGGTATCCTGCTTTTGGGAAGCTTGTTCCTGAGCAGTGGATTCCTCAGTGAAGGTTCGCTTATGGAAGGCAGGCAAGGGATCGGCAGCCTTCGGCTGCTCTACCTTGGGCGTTTGCAGGGGCATCGACAGCGGTTGCTTCATAAAGTCGGATGCCGGGGGAGCAGTGTATACATTATCGGCCATCTCCTCGTCTTCTTCTTGATCTTCATCAACATAAGCGTCCAGCTCAGGAGCTGTCATCAGGACGGGCATTCTGGGACGAATCAAAGCCTCCACTTCCATCTGTTCGCCGTAAGTGCGAACCAAGAATGGAATGATGCTCGAGCCTGCTCCGCGGCCCTTGATTGCGGGCACCGGGTTGAGGACGCTAGCAAGCATCGCATCCTTGTCCGATGTCAAGATGATGGTACGGTCAATTTCAGCCCGAGTGGAAGGCGGAACGAGTTCAGCGGGAATAGAAACAAGCACGGCCTGCAAAAGACCCGAGGCATTCTGCTGGAGGTCCAAAAATGGAGTAGCCGATTGCGCCTGACGAGACTTCTGCAGCTCAGGGTTCAAGAAAGCGTCGGCGTTAGCTGTAGTACCTTGACCACCCTTTGGCTTGGTTTTGGAGTCCAAGCCCGAGTTAGCTGAGGAATCCCCAGTCGGTGGCAGAAGATCATGACAGCAAGAGCGAACCACAGTTGCCAGAGATGCCACACTTTGCTTAGACATTGCGGGTCCGTTCAATGGCACCAAGGAACGGAGCAAAGCGTAGACTGCAGAGCGCACATCCTTGCTGAAAGTCTCGCCTCGGAAAGTCCAGACAGCCTGCTCCAAAATGGTCTGGGCTACCGAGGTTGCGCTGGTCTCCAACACACTAACAACGTCGGAGAGTAAATCCATGCAGGCAATGTGAATGCGAGGAAGCTCCATCCAAAGGCCCTCTCGCTCCTCACGGCCAATCTCCTGGTTGAATTGGATGCCGGTTTGAGACTCGCCATTCAGCGGGACGGTCACGGAAGTGAGTCGGGATGTCAAATCCAGAATAGAACCCAAAGGAATAGCAACAGCAGCCGCGGATGGAGATGAAACGAAGCCCGAAAGAATCTTCAGAAGTACAACCAATCGATCAACACCCGAGTGCAGTCCCGTCCAGCCTGGAAGCCCCAGACCATCTGGGCCCTTATCGCTCATTTCTTGGCTATAGTTCGGCCGTGTTGGCACCAGTGTCGTATCGACCGACTCCCATTGTTCCACCACTGCTCGATAAATTTGATCTGTTGTCCGATGAATAGACAGAATTGTTGACCGGCAATCATCGTTCCATCCAGAGCCAGCCTTGTCTTTTGGTGCGCACTTGTGGAGAGAAACAAGTAGCTGCTCTGCCACATCGACGACATGCTCCGGGAAATAGGCGGGCGAGGAGGAACCGACAACCTCAGCGAGCAGGGTGCGAAGCTGGGAGCCGAATGGACGGAAGATGGTGGGGTGTCTGGGGATCAGCTCCAGCAAGGCGCATAGCACAATTTCCATAAACGCGGTGTTTGGCTTCGGCTTGCGTGTCGAGCCTGAAGAGGTCTTCGTAATCACAGAGACCAAGTTCAAGGCGGCGGTGATGAATCCTGGCAATTGCGGAGTGGTGATTTCTCGGACAAGTGTTGGGTACTGGTACGTGAGGTGGAAAATTCGAGTGAGTGTGATGATACACATCTTCCTCGTTGAGATCGGATCAGGCTTTGCCAGGATGCTGATCAAACCGCGAACAATCGGCTCATATCCGCGCAAAATCTCCCATCGACCAGCTTCAACGGTAGCTTTCACCAACACAACAGCTGTCCATCTTCCTTCAATAGTGCGGTCCTGCAGCAGACTTGCCAGCCGAGTCTTCAATTTATGGATCTGAACAGCATTGTCGGACTCGGATTTGCCTTTCTGGGCTTGCGGAGCAGAGAGCAATGCGGCGCAATCACTCAACGAAGTCGCAAGGAACGAAGCTATGGAGGGCAATTGATCGACCGGGGTGGTAGTGAGACGATGCGTCACGGCGCGCAACGTAGTGGAGGTCATGATTGCCCTAAAAAAGAAAAGGCCAAAAAGCGTGAGCGAGGAAGTGCAAGTGAAGATCTCCAATCTTTTTTTCTGCCAACGCTTGGACCACATGTAGCCTCGGTGGTAAATTACCGTCACGTACGTAATCGCTCTCCACCCCTGGAGGATCACCGGCGTGGAACTTGACAGTGTTGGGCCAGGAATGCTCCTCTTTCTTCTCGCAACACTCACTATCCTTTTGAATCATGGCTGTAAGTGCTTGTCTTGATTTCTGCCGAGCAGTTACTCTGTTATACAGCTTCAAATATCACCAATACAAGCCAGTATTTACGCTAACATGTGCTAGGGAGGCAATGCCGAGAAAGGGCAGCGCTACACTGCGGCCTTAGATCAGGCGCGGAGTCAAGGGAAATGGGATGAGGTCCCCGAACTGATTCGGAAAGTCACAAAACATGCACCGCAAAAGACTTGTACGCCGAACCCTGCCTTTGTTGATCTTGAACTGACGGAGATGCCAATAAAGGTGTAATACAGACCGCAACAGCCGAATCGCGCGTGATATTGTATCTCCAACAAAAGTTCTCCGCGGAGGACTCATCCTCTTCGTCCAACCTTGTCGAGCTGATCCCCGCCCTGTTAATGACCATTGAGAACAGCGATGGTTCACCACAAGAGCTACTACAGGCCCAGGTCTGTTTGGGATGGATACATTGGGTCCTGAATGAGCCCGCACTTGCAGCCGCTCGTCTTCCCGCGAGCTTTGTGGAGACTGTCGATAGCTTGGCTGGGGGAGGGGGAGTCCCGACTGCGTGGACCGAGGTCTGTCTTGTGAAGGGATGCTACATCAAGGGTACGTTTGTTTACCCCATGACGTAACATGTTACAGGTCTAACATCAAGAAGCAATTGCGCAATCGAGTGTCTCCAGCATCAATGAGACACTGGAGACCTTTGCGTCTTTGATTCCGTGGCTTAACAGCGGCAAGCTGACGTCGATCACCACCCCTCAATTCCTGGAATGGTCCGAGTCCCTTCTGGGCAAGGGTGCTCTTTTGGCTAGTGAAGAGGCGAGCAAGAACACACCATACTCGGATCCTGAACATGTTGATATCGCGCTGCGATTGCTGCGATTGTGGGCTGCTCATCCTTCCGTCAAGCAAGGAAACCCCACAAAATCGTCAAATGCGGATGGATCCGGGCAGGTTTCTCGGTCCTCAGTTTGGACTGCCTACTACGGATTTCTCACAATTGTCTTACAGGACGGGCTCATATACACTGGCCCCAACGATGGACCTGACCGCCCGCAACTTGCCAGCGAATTGCGCCGTGTAGAATCCATCTGTGAGGGCAATCTTCTCCGTGAAGTCAAGTTTCCTACTGCCAGCTCCCAGAATAATCAAGTCGAAGAATGGGTAGAGCAAGTAATCAGCAACTGGGAAGTCCTATGTGGCCCTGAGTGGCGAGACTCAGATCTCGGTGAAGGTGGCCAGAATGCTGTTAGCCGCAACGTCTTGGATGTAAGTTCGACCACAACCATGACCCATTAAACTTACTAACATTTCTCATGTCAGATACTGTATCGTGCGGCGGCAAAGACTTATCATTCTCATCTGGTACTCCGTCGTCTCTTCCATGTCCATGCCTCCTTGGCAGACTTTGACCTCGCCGTGAAAGCACTTGATTCTTATATTGAGATTGTCACTGCAGCTAAAGAAAGAGCGGAAAAGTCCGCCGAGTCAGGTGAATTGGAGAAGGATGAAATCTTATTGCAGACCCTGTCTGAAGGTGTGACATTGTTGGCCTGCCACGGCTCCTTCGAGGAGGCAGAGAAAGCCCGCGACCTGACTGATGTGATACGGGAGTATGTTGACAAACATACTGTTCCCGTTGTTAACGGCGAAGTTAACGGCAACTCGTCGAAGTCGCCCGACATTCCTCTGTCCGTGTTGGCCTTGTCCTACCGAGCCGTGGGAGTGGGACTTGCCAGCTGGGCCAGCTGGACGCCTGTGAATGAATCGCGAGATGAAATTCGAGCAGACGCGATCGACTACCTAGAGAAGAGTCTTGAGCCAGAACTGGGTAACAGCTCGAGCTATTCATCTCTCTACACCCTGGGTCTGGTCTTGGCTGAGAACAGAGATCTAGACACTGCAATTGACTACATTAAGTCAGCTTTGACACCAAGTGGTCCATCCGTTGCAGTTGCCGAAGACCTCTCCAAGGAACGGGACTTGGTGTCTCTGTGGCATTTACTCGCGCTGTTGCTTAGTGCAAAACAAGAATTTGAGATTGCTGGGCGTTCGTGCGAAGCAGCATTTGAACAATTCCCCAAGGAAATATTCTCGAAAGGCCACCGTGAAAGGCGGTCATCCAGACATTCACACAATTCTGGAACACAGCGTCCCCTTCTCACTCGTCTATCAGGCAGAGAAAAGGAACGTATCATCCAAACTCGCATCACACAGCTTGCGTTCGTTGAACTCCTGGACGGCCCGGAGGCCGCGGTCAATCACAGCGAGCAACTACTGAGTCTGTTTGGTACCCTTTTCCATGATCTGAACCTCGAAACCGGAGAGTCCAAGTGCAAGTCAGAGCATTTGGTGCCACCAAAAAGCTCTGCCGGCACTACCAAGAGCTTCCGTGGTAGTATCTTCAGCCGAAACAGAGCGTCTCAGCTACCAGACCGACGTGCCGATCATTCAAAAGGTTCTGACGTTATCCCACCCACACCGGCTATTCCCAACGGTCATACAACGGATGCTCCCTCGATCCACATCACGGACGGAGATGCTCACAGCTACAAGGAAAAAGCCCCCACAATTGGGCGGACAGATTCAAAGAGACTTAAAAAGCGAAGTTCAAGCTTCCATCGGAACGAGAGGCCACGCGTTGAAGAACCTCCGCTTCCTAAGAGTGAAGCATCACCAGATATGATTGGGATTGCGATGTCTGGCAACGCACCACCAGAGTCGGCAATCCATCCTTCCAAGGGCAAGCAAGCATTGCCGCCAATGGCACACAACACCAACTACAAAAAAGAACCTCTTCCTGCTGGGCACGTGGACCAGCCACCGGAGCAGGATATCCGGCTCCCAGTCACTCATCGCTTTGATTCTCCCGCAGGTGCCGTTACAAAGTTCTCCCTTGTTCAATCCCAGAAGCATGCACTGGGTCTCCTTGTCAGAATCTGGCTGGTCATCGCCGGACTCTATCGTCGCGCGTCTCTGTTAGATGATGCTCGTGAAGCTTGTGAAGAAGCTTTGAAACAAGCTACACGAGTCGAAACACTTGTCGCATCCCATGAGTCGTCAGCTCGCTCATTCAGCAAGCGTGGCTGGGGCTCTTCAAAGAGCTCGGAGGAGCTCTGGGCCGATGTCTACGCCGAACAGGGGCTCCTGGCACAGGCTGCCTCGAACCCTCATCAAGCTATCAGGCACTATGAGAATGCCCTCTTGCGCCACCAGGACCATCCGACGGCGACTATTGGACTTGCTAATCTGCTATTAGACATCTGGGATCAGACCCTCTCCCCAGAGCCACTGAATGCAGATGTGGATCTCAACGTTTCGCGCTTGTCATTGCTATCGGAGACTCCCAAGCCTAAGTCCGCCAAGGCTATCTCAACTGATGATTTGAAGGTATCTCGGGAGACCGAGAATGCAGGCCCTGATGAGGCGCCTTCTTCCGCACACGATGTCGACCCCCAGCAGCTTCACCGTCTTGCAGCCCGGGATCGCGCCTACGGGCTCCTTTCGGCATTGACGAAGCTCGGTAGCTCCTGGGACAGCTCTGAGGCATGGTATGCCTTGTCCAGGGCATACGAGGCCGGCGAGCAGGTCGAGAAATTGAAGGAAGTTCTGTGGTGGTGCATTGAACTAGAGGACAGACGGCCAATTCGTCACTGGTCCAACATCGGCTCCGGTCTATATGTTCTCTAAAGAAGCAAAAGCTTGGGTGGTAATATCTTCTTGTATCTAATCCATTTTTCCCTTGGCACCGCTTTCTTCTTCCTTTTTTTTGGATTTCCAACAACTGAGATACCTTGTTGATATTGGCATCTGGACCACATGGTTGCGAAGATCATTTTTCAATTGAAGCGGATTTTTGAAAATGGACTCTCTTCGTAAAGAACAAACACTACTGGTAAGACGTCTTATATACATTCCCCACGTAGACAATTAAGTTGCCAGCGTGCCCAAAGGAAACGGGATCAGGTGAACAGCACGGAAGTTGGATTGATTCTGCTACTGCAAATTGATCTACCGCGGAGCAGCAGTGGGAATCCAGGCAGCGATCTTAGGCTTGGTACTTGAGGCGAAGTTAGTCGATGCACGGGCAAAATCCAAGGGTGGAATATAGGGCCACACGTACGTAGAGTAAGTCTTGAAGGCAGCACGGCTCAGAGTCGGGTTGGCGAAGTGGTCGGGCAGCTCCCATGGGCGGACACCGGTCTGCAAGATCTTGTCGGCGTGTGGGGGCGCGTCAACAAGGTAGGAGATCCAGGCGTGCCTGAATTTGCATTAGTCCCATACATTGACGGGCGATTATTGCCCCTGTGTCTTGAGAGAAGAGCTTACCAGCCGGGCTCAATGTGGGATGCGTCGTATTCGGCCTCCTTGTAGTCGACCCATCGTGTACGGACTAAATGGGAGATAATTAGCCCTCCGGGTGCTCCTTCACAATTGCTTGGGTCAAAGAGTCATCTTACGAGGCAATTCCTCCTCCATGTTCTCGAAGTACTTGTTTCCGAAGCGATCGGTTCCGATCAGAGTTCCGGCCTTGGTATCACCTGGAATAGCATGAATTGTCAGTCAACTGCAGCGCGAGTACCAATTGAAGAGTAACGTACCGATGTACTAAATCACAGAGAGAAGGCACTTAAGTTAGTCTCCATCTCATGCAACTGTCCCACCTTCCTGGGAGAGGCGTCCGCGATCATACCTGCATCTGGTGGCCAGCATCCTAAGTAGCAAAGTTAGCTACCAAATTTCCTTGGCGAACAGACCAGACAGAGACAAACCTTGATGCCAACCCGGCGAAGGTTGCGCAGAGTCCTCAGAATAGTCGACATCTTTGCTCGTTCAATATGGAGCGAATGGGATGCGAGAGATTGGTGATTTGAGGTTGCAGGAGGGCGGATGTTTGCACCGTTTGCACCCCTTTCGCGGATTTCCCTATTCAGAAGAACCCTCGATTTTCGTCTCTTAGACATGTTTGGCCGAATTGGAGGACAGGCGCTTCGTCGCGCTGGGCGACGCCCAGTCGCACGCCCCAGAATATATGCTCGCAACTTTTCTGCGCAGTCTGGTACCAGTGCTACCACTGCTGCGTCCACTCTTTCACCACTAGCAGGAATCACCTCCGAGCTAGACCGCATTGCTCCCCGATTTGAGGTGCCTGCGTCGCAGATCACTATTATTGAATCTCCAGCAAGCTTCTACTCCACATTGAAGGTGTGTTTGCGTTACTCTGCTGTCGAAGTGCATTTAAACTGACTCGCGACTGCACAGGATAAAATCCTCAAAGCACGGCGGCGTGTTTACCTCTCTACCTTATACATCGGCAAAACGGAATTCGACCTGATCGATACATTGAGCCAGGCTCTTCGCGATAACCCGGATCTGAAAGTTTCGGTCCTTACGGATGCTCTGCGCGGCACACGAGAGACCCCCAATCCTTCATGCGCATCACTCCTCTGTTCATTAGTTGAGAAGTATGGACCGGAACGGGTTGAGGTTCGGATGTTCCATACTCCCAATTTGACTGGCCTGAGAAAGCAATGGATTCCTCGTCGAATAAACGAGGGCTGGGGCTTACAGCACATGAAGCTATATGGGATCGACGACGAGATTATTCTCTCAGGGTATGCCACCTATGACCGTTGTACCAGTATATGATACTGACATATATCAGCGCGAACCTGTCTGAGGAATACTTCACTAGTCGCTTGGATCGGTACCATGTCTTTGCCTCCAAGGCGCTGACTGAATACTACGCTCAAATCCACCATGCAATCTGCAGTTTGAGTTTCCAAGTTCTGCCAGACCCTGAGAATGAGTCCTACCTTTTGGATTGGCCTAGCTCAAACGGGGCACCATCGCCTCTGGATAGTCCCGAGGATTTCGTCGCTTATTCGTCGATTTTCCTGAACCCGCTCATTCAGGCATCTGACAATAAACCTGCTGATCCATCCGAATCCAGCCAAACCTTTGTATACCCCGTTTCACAGTTCACTCCACTGTTGAAACCCGAAGACACCTCTACCGAATACCGTGCCGTGACTACGATTCTGCGTATGTTATCTAGCTCGTCCGCGTTTGCAGGTGCCCGCTGGCTCTTCACGGCAGGATACTTCAATATCCACCCCGTCCTTTCCTCCCTCTTGATCTCCAGTACATCAGCTGCCCAGCACAACCCTTCTACCACACAAGGCACTGTCCTGACAGCCTCTCCATGGGCCAATGGATTTTATGGCTCTCCGGGAATCTCAGGCATGCTCCCAGCCGCCTACACGCACCTCGCAGCACGATTCCTCGACCGTGTCGCCGAGGCGCAGGCTACCAATTCCATTCAGCTCAAGGAATGGCGCAAGGGCACTGTTGGCACGCCAGGAGGTTGGACCTACCACGCCAAGGGCCTTTGGGTCACCTTGCCTAACGAGGAACATCCCAGCCTTACGTTCGTTGGTAGCAGCAACTACACAAAACGCAGCTACAGCCTTGACATTGAAACTGGCGCTCTAGTTGTGACGAACGATCCGGATCTCAAGCAGAAGCTGGGTGAGGAGACGGAGCGACTTCAGAAGGACGCCAGCCCCGTCTCGAGGGAGGACCTGAGGCAAACGGAGAGACGGGTGGGGTGGAACGTGAGGCTCTCCATGTGGATCGTGGAGAAGGTCGGCGGTGCCTTCTAATCTCTTCTTGTATAAATATCTCTTTAAACAATAGATACTCTGTAATATAGCTGAACATAGATTGGCGTGATATTGGATGTTTATCACATCAACCAGGCATGATTTGAGTCATACAACGGCATCAAGACTTTATATGAAACCCGCAATTCCATCTCATACTTTTTGCCCAAACTATAAAATCAAAAAAGACAAAGATGTCTCTCCAACAAGCCCTCTCAAGAAGCTGGTTCGGGTTCGACCTGGATGACACACTGCACGAATTCCGACGTGCCTCGGCCAACGCCTCAACCCACATCTTCGAGGCAATCCACTCCTCGAACAGTCAGATCAGCATCGATACCCTCAGAACCACATACCAAGGTATCCTGCGCAACACAACCGCAAACGCCTTCGCAGATGGAAGAACTTCAACGGAGTATCGACGCGAACGATTCGGGCGTCTTCTCCAGGTGCACGGGCTAACGGGCCTCAATCACTTCCTAGGACCTGGAAATCCCCTACTTGATCGTCTGCTGGACCTATATCGCGATTCTCTACGCGAAAGTCTAGCCCTAAAACCTGGTGTATTGCATCTTTTACAGACTCTGCGACGGTTGGGGAAGAAGATCATTGTCATTACTGAGGGACCAGCGGATGCGCAAGAATGGACGGTGCAGGAGCTGGGCATATGGCGGTATATTGATGTACTTGTGACGACGAATGAAGTTGGTAGATCTAAAGTGGATGGGTTATTTGGTGTTGTTCTGGACAGGTATGGGATATACTCTGATGACATTGTTTACTTCGGTGATAATGAGGTTCGTGATGTTCAAGCTGCACGGGAGCAAGGGATTTTGGCAGTGCACTATGACGAAAAACGGGGATCTCAGTTGGACGATATCAATGCATTACGAGTGAATTCGTGGGATGTGGTAGAAAAGGTACTCGTCCGTGGAGAGTAAGGAGATTGATATAGAATAGAACATGAAGACATAAGCATAACTTTTGGTCTAGCCATCAAGAGATATCAACCCTAACGCACGGGAATGCATAAAGAAAGAAAGAAAGAAAGAATTAAACAAAAACCAAACGCCATGTCATGACTGGGGGTTTATCGAGTGTCGTCTCATATGCAATGTGGATCTTCATCTAAGCTCTTCCGGGGACTTTGCCGCTCCTGAAGCGAGCAGGGCCAAGGCCAGAGCGCACCTCGTCAAGGTTTCTGATACCAATGGCCTCGTTACCGTTCCTGCCACGCTTGTTCTTAGCGCCAGTGCGCTTCGCCTGGGCACTGGTGTTGGGGTCCCAGCTGGAAAGGAAGTCGTCCATCACGTTGTTGAAGCTGCTGCGGCTGTGCACCTCGTTGCCATTTGCGTCGATCAGGCTAGGGGCCTCGGATGCGGCTGACATGTCTGTCATGCCAGTTGCGCCTGTCATTCCGCTGACCATAGACATGCTGTCGTCGTACTCATCTTCCTCATCGAGGGCATAGAGAGCCTCGACCTTGTCAAATCGGTCGTCCAGAAGGCGGTGGCCCTCGGTACGAGCCAGAGCGGAAGATGTCATCGAGTATGCGGATGGGTTGGTCAGTGCACCCTTGCGCTTCTTGCGGCGGATTGGTGTACCACCAGCAGTGAACACGGTCGATGCCATTGTCTGCGAGGGTGCGATTGTGGGTGCTGCGGGTGCGGGGGCCTTGCCGGCCTTCGCGTCTTTCTTGAACTTGGCGAACTCGTTCATCCACCCCTGATCGGTTGGGGCGATATCGGGAGCTGGCTGATCGTGCTCAGGCATTTCGCCAGGCTCCAGAGTTTTGGCCTCGGCGGCTTCTGGGAGCTCCTCTCCCATGGCTTCTGTGCTATCCATCTGCACAGGTGCTTTCTCGGTGGCATCCGACTCCCACCCTTCATCTTCGTCGTCGTGGTCAAAGAGAGAATCCTCCCAGTCGCCCTGATCAATCTCCTCCGCATTGGCAGTCAGTTCACCAAAGACATCATCATCGTCACCGTCCTGTACAAAGGCCTCATCCTCGAGCGCCTCCAGGGC